TCTCCTGATGATTTTATACATTTGGATCTTAAATTGCAGGTATTTTGGAATTTACGGCTTCAACGGGTAGGTGGTTCCATAGGTTCATAGTCCTAATAGTGACTATGCATTATAGGGCTTGTTGAGCCTGAACCGTTGCTCCGTGTTCGTGTTGTATCTGGCCTGGACTGTAGGGGAGCCGGTCGGCCGAGCGGACAGTACGTTGGACTTGTGATCCTGTGGTCCTGGGTTCGATCCCAGGCGCCGGCGAGAAACAATGGGCAGAGTTTCTTTCACCCTATGCCCCTGTTACCTAGCAGTAAAATAGGTACCTGGGTGTTAGTCAGCTGTCACGGGCTGCTTCCTGGGGGTGGAGGCCTGGTCGAGGACCGGGCCGCGGGGACACTTAAGTCCCGAAATCATCTCAAGATAACCTCAAGATAGGACCGTCCATCATACAACCTACTTATTGTGAGTTATGTGCCGGACTGTCTTCATATTTAAGGCTTCGGTGGGTAAGAGATTCCACAGGTTTATTACACTACGGGTAAATCTGTTTTATGTGCTACATGGTGGTTTATTGAGCTTCAAACTCTTGCCCCCTTCAAGTAAGTTTATTGCTAAGAAAACACATCTGAAAAGGCTAGAGTAGCTTAGGCTACTACTATCGTGAGTTACACTGGGCCTTTCAAGAACTAGTCTGGAGTAACGTCTTGTGAGTTGCTCAATATTTTGATCTTGATGAGATCAGCCTTGTGATGTCTTGCTTGTTAGTCCCGAGGGCTTCACCCTTCGGTGTGGGAGTTCATTAATAACCGGGATGTTTTCCTCGCTCTCTGATTAACATGTTCCAGTACGATGATTTGTAAACCTGAAAGGCAAATACATTTTTCTTTTAAGTCAAAGAAGCGTTTTTAAGACACCTGGGACTTTGCGTGTTTCTTCGAAGCTACTTGTTAAGAACCTTCCTATGACTTGCGGACTTTTACTTCAAAACCCACTTTTTTTTTAAATCTCTTGGAAAGTCACAGTGGTAATAGGAGAAAGCGCTAAGCCAGTTTGACTGGAAAGTATGAGAACAAGGATCTGGGTTAGGACGGAGGGACTGAATGGTGCCCAATCATTTGGACCATCGGGGATCGAACGCCGACCTGCAAGAAGCGAAGACGTCGGTCGGTACCAATTTAAGGCTTTGTCACATCCGTGAATTTGATGATGTGACGTTATAATTTGATGTCACCGATGCGTCTTACAGAAAGGATTGAATCCTTGTGACAATCCTTGAGTGTGTGTGATTCACAAACATTATTTGAATTTGACTATTTAATTCATAATGGCTGTTTGTTTTGTGTGTTTTAACCACTGTTTTATCCATGTCGGTATTTAACAGTAATTTAGAGTCCACGGATCATTCACAACCTTCATGGCCCCTTCAACTGTTCTTATTCTCGCACTCTTTTATGCTGAAATTCGTTCATTTACTCAGCTTCCTCTACTCGCCTTTCTGTCTTTTTCCTTCCCCTCTCCCGTCCACCTGTCCCTGTGAGAGGACGGGAGAGGCGCCCCGTGGAGACCACCGCCTGGTCAACCTATTACTGCCCACCGTCACCATGACCAGGGAGAGAGGCAGGGAGGGAGAGGACCTTAGGGGTGTTTAAACATTGATGTGGGAGGAGGGGAGACAGAGCAGGCGTGTGGGAGAAGGTGGGGGGATGCCCCTCCGGTCGCCCTCTCCATCACCTCTACCTCCCGCAGCAGCCGGCTACCTCCCACAGCCTCCTAATAACCACCCCTTTCCCCACTCTCTACCTCCAACCTCGCGCAAACTTGATAATTCGCTACCTTGTCTCCCTTCCTGCATCACCTGCCACCCGTTGATCTCTTCTCGGCCCGGCCCCAAATCCTTCACGTCCATCTCTGCTCCTCGCGCCTCCTTGACACATCATTTAGCGATCATTAGCGCCCTACACAGGGCTCGAGCTCCGTCGTCCTGGACAGGGTCAGTGTGCATTTGGCACTACTATCTGTCAGTTCGTAGATTGAGCTCTCAATGCTGTCCTCGGAAGAGCAATTGACACCTGTGCAAGCCTCACACCTTGCTAAAACAGAATGTAGTCCACTGTGAGGACAAGTGTTCTATACACACACACACACACACACACACACACACACACACACACACACACACACACACACACACACACACACACACACACACACACACACAGAACGGCGTTCAGGAACCTGTGTAAGGAATCATTCAGAATCTTGTACACCACATATGTAAGACCAAAATGCGGCCCCAGCATGGAGCCCGTACCTTGTCAAGCACAAGACGAAGCTGGAAAAAGTCCAAAGGTATGCTACTAGACTAGTCCCAGAACTAAGAGGCATGAGTTATGAGGAGAGGCTGCGGGAAATGCACCTTACGACACTGGAAGACAGAAGAGTAAGGGGGGACATGATCACAACCTACAAAATCCTCAGGGGAATCGACCGGGTAAAAAAGGATGAACTATTCAACACTGGTGGGACGCAAACAAGGGGACACAGGTGGAAGCTGAGTACCCAAATGAGCCACAGAGACGTTAGAAAGAACTTTTTCAGTGTCAGAGTAGTTAGTAAATGGAATGCACTAGGAAGTGATATGGTGGAGGCTGACTCCATACACAGTTTCAAATGTAGATATGATAGAGCCCAGTAGGCTCAGTAATCTGTACACCAGTTGATTGACGGTTGAGAGGCGGGACCAAAGAGCCAGAGCTCAACCCCCGCAAGCACAATTAGGTGAGTACACACACTCCCTCACCGTGTGTGTCCATCAGGTGTCCTCTCAACTATAGCATCACACACGTCATCTCGCTAAAGATTAAACCCCACCCTGCTGCCTGGCACCTGTGTGTGTGTGTGTGTGTGTGTGTGTGTGTGTGTGTGTGTGTGTGTGTGTGTGTGTGTGTGTGTGTGTGTGTGTGTGTGTGTGTGTGTGTGTGTGTGTGTGTCCTGTTCACTGTAAAGTCCCAACACGGCCTTCCAGCCCGCCTGAACCCTCTTAAAACATCAATTTATTCACACACACATTCCAGGCAACGATGGTAGTATACACCAGATCCATGACAGCTGCATACAGAACATTTGTTTTTCAGAGCATTGAATTTCAGAACAAATGTTCCTAATAATTAAGCCCCTCCTTTCCTTTCCAGTTCCCTCCCTAACCCACCCACTCTCTCTCTCTCACTGACACCCCCTTCCCCTTCCTCTCTCTCTTTCCCCTCTTAGTCTACCATTTATTCCTCGGCGATTTATTCCTACACCCTTGCCACCTTTTCCTGCTTGAATGAAATACTGTGTTTAGAGCTGGAGCTGGGAAGATCACGGGGAGCGTTGTGGCCGTCACATTCTTAATGTAGAGCTCAAAATCCGTTCCTTGTGGCCGCCTGGCCGAGGACACCACTTTAGTTTACTCGAGCTTCATACATATAATGCCGTTTATATAGCTTTACAGTGCACGTATAGCATACATCCGTATTTAAAACAGGTATATGAAGTGTCTCCAGGAATGAAACTTTGACTGTTCTCCTTTTTCACACAAACACACACACACACACACGCGCGCACACGAACATGTGTACACAAAACAACGCGCGTATATGTATGCAAACACATACATTTCACTCTCTTCCCTATACCCCCGTGTGTGACCTGCCTCTTCAATAATGTAAAGACAGCATGTGTCAGTGTGGCGCTGACCACTATGGCGGACCAACAGCTTATAGCGGCCACCAGAATTCACATGAAACCTGAATGTGTCTCAACCCACACCTGCAGCCCAGTCCACCACTGACTGGGATCAGGTGATGGAAGGTTATCTCAAACAGCATCAGATTCATAACAAGCCAAATTTCTTTACAAATTTAAGTTATCGAAAATTATTTTAATGCTACACAGTATTCATCTATAGACATCCAGATATGGTGAAACACATGTGAAGAACCTCTCACACACTCACAGCTCCCTGACAAGAGGGAGCCAGCTTAGCTTAGCTGCCAACACCCACACATCGTGTCAGCAAGGCGGACAGCCCGCCTGCTTTCATACCTCTCACTGTATTTCCCACTTCTATACTTCCCTTCACCTATGCCTCTCCTTCCTCTTTACTTCAAAAAAAAAAAAATAAAAAAAGGGGAGAGGTAGAGGAGAACAAACGCGGTCCACCACAACATTTTTCTCTCTCTTGTTTATATATACACATAAACAATGTGTCCCCATGCCCCCCATCCCCGCTACACAGAGGAGACACCATAAACACGTTTGGAATATGGTAGTGCGGGAGGACTTAAGAGGGAGTCTTTATAATGTAGTCTCTCTCCCTCCCGGTGTTTCATGGGGGATGGTGTCAGATTACCTACCTTTCCCCTTCCCCATTGTTTTACCTCGGGGAGCTTGAATGATCACTGCGACTACCCGGGGTAGGGTATGCTGGGGGTGGGATTTAGGGCGGGGGGTAAGGTCCGACCGCCGTGGCTATATGATTGAGGACCTCACCCTCATACTCACCCTCTTATGTTTACTTTGCTTACCTACATAACCGTACATCAACTATACTTTATTTTACAGTGACTAGAAAAGGTGAATACTTTATACGTCTTACATTTCAGCATTAATAACGTACTTTTGTAACTTTACAAATGTTTATTTTATTTAAGCTTTTTGTCTTCATTATTTTTAGCGGATACAAAAAAGTGATGCTGTTGAGTAGTCTACCGTGCACTCCTGACAGGCTGTTGTTGTTGTTTTAGATTTAGCTATTTAGAACGAAGTGTCCATGTAGCACGGGCTATGGTGAGCCCGTAACAGTTCTGACAGGTAACTACAGTAGCAATTATGGACATGCTGTCTGTGGAGACATGCACCCGCATGTGTCTCCGCAGACCTTCCCTACGGGCGCTTCTGTTACTTAGATACTCCTTTATGCAGCTATGAGCATTAAGATGATCATGTCTCTCTCTCTCTCTCTCCCTCAGACGCTGCTGGTGGGGAACAGCGACACATTCACGGAGGTGAAGAACACGCTCGCCCGACCCGTGCTGGCTGCTAGAGTCCGACTCCAGCCCTTCAGCGCTCACCCCAGGGTCGTCTGCCTCCGCCTCGAACTCTACGGCTGCAACTACACTGGTAGGTTCCTTGTAGACATCTTATAGCTCCTCCAGCACGTCTAGGCCTGGGCTCCTCCGACACAGATAGGCCTAGGCTCTTCGGCACAGGGAGGTTCTTCAGGCACATAATTGTTTTTGTGCAGGTTCGGCTTCGGCTCTTGAGTAACATCTCTCAACTGTCAGTCAACTGCTGTACAGATTTCCAAGCCCATTGGGCTCTATTATATTTATGTTCCAAATTATTCAAGGAATCTGTCTCCCATGTTTTACTTATTAAAATATTCAATTTCTTCACTACCCTGACATTGAAAATTTTTGCTGATATGTCTGTCTATCACTGGAGAACTTTGTTTCCACTTGAGTACCCATGTTCGTGTACTACCTATGGCAGATAATGTGTCGTTCTCTGTCTTGCTCTAACAATTGATCTGAGGATTTTGTACGTGGTAATCATGTCTTCCCTAGCCCAGTGGATCACGGTTTAATTCCTCTAGACTTTCCTCGTAACTCATACCTTTCATCTTTGAGTTTTGTTTGGCGGTATACTTCCAAACTTTCTCGAACTTTGCTTTGTGTTTGGCAAGTTAAAGATTCCGCGCTGATTAAGAATTTTCAAGTATGGGCTGACATATGATAAGGTTCTGAATGTTTTTTTATTCACATTTCTAAGGCATTTGTTAGGTTAACTAACCTGGTATATTCCGCTGGTGATAATGCGCTGAATGTTAACTTCGAGAGACAGGTTCGGTAACACCGAACCTGTGACCTGAACCATTCAGGTTCGAGCGGCCTGAATGGTTCAGGCCGCTCTCTGGCCTGAATGTTTAAGGGGTTCATCTCTCATTTGGTACTTGTGTCCGGCCTCGTGCTCCCAGCGCACAATTTCATTACTTTGCACTTGCCTGTTAAACTATATTAGCCATTTCTTCTGTCATTCTTAATGTTTGTCCAGATCATCTCGTAGTTACTTATTATTCTTAAATGAATTCACTTCATAAATGTTGCATCATCAGCAAAATGTTTCAGGCCCTCGGTACGTGTGTCTTCTTAGACCCTCCCTAACATCACACACATAGAGCTAGGCTCTATGTAAGCTCTATCATAGAGCCTACTGGGCTCTATGATAGAGCCCAGTAGGCTCAGGAACCTGTACATTAGTTGACTGACCGTTGAGAGGCGGGACCAAAGAGCCAGAGCTCAACCACCGCAAGCACAATTAGGTAAGTACACATGTGTAGCACCCGCATGTGTCTCCGCCGACCTTCCCTACGGGCGCTTCTGTTACTTAGATACTCCTTTATCCACTGGAGCACCTTCTCTGTCCCTCACGCCTGCTTCTCCCACTTGTGCACTACAGTCACCTCAGGAGTACTGTATAGAACACTTCCTGACAACCCACAAATATGCAGCCTACCTACCTATATCCTTCTCTGTCTAGTGTGATTAATGTCGCTCGCTCATAGAATTCTATCAGGTATGTGAGGTCGAATTTATCATACCTGGGCCCGTGCTGGCGCGTTATAAACCACCCTCTTACCCTCTCTCTTGAGGTTATCTTGAGATAACCTCAAGATAACCCTCTCTCTCTCTCCAGATATGTTACTACCCCCAGTACAATGACGCTTATCGTCACCTTTCATAGAAAGCAAGTTGGAAACTCTGGTCTGTAGTTTAGTGCCTGTTATCTGCCTGTTATCTCCCTCCCTTGTTGTGTATTAGAGATATTACTTTGGCTGTCTTCAAACGTTTTGGTAGTTCTCCTTTTTCCGATGATTTATTGCACACCAAAGAAAGCGACAACCATAGACAGAAACACATAGGAATGAGTCCCATGTGCAGGATGATCCGTCATGTGTAGCAACGCACCTCATACACAACAACACCCCCCTCATGCGCAGGTGTGTGTTCCTCATGTGCAGGTGTGTGTTCTTCATGTGCAGGTGTGTGTTCTTCATGTGCAGGTGTGTGTTCCTCATGTGCAGGTGTGTGTTCCTAGTGTGCAGGTGTGTGTTCCTCATGTGCAGGTGTGTGTTCCTCGTGTGCAGGTGTGTGTTCCTCGTGTGCAGGTGTGTGTTCCTCGTGTGCAGGTGTGTGTTCCTCGTGTGCAGGTGTGTTCCTCATGTGCAGGTGTGTGTTCCTCATACGCAGATACGTTCCTCATAGGCAGGTACGTCCCAAAGAACGGGTGGAAGAGAACCGCAGGACGAGTAGGAGCCGAGAGGTGGAAGGGAACCATGGGATGGGTGGAAGAGACCCTGGTGACGGGTGGAAGCCGTGGGGTGGATGTGAGGATGGGATGGAGGAAGGGCGAGGGTGGGTCGGGGGCGGCTGGACCAGCGTCCACCCAGACCAGCGTGCCACCTTCCCGCTGGGCGCCGCCCGCCGCCCACAAATTACCCGGGCTGGTGGTAAGCAGCGCGTCAAGATCCCTCGTCCACTTGATTAGTTGGCGAGAGATGGAGGGGCAAGATAGCGCCATGCACCACATGCGGCGAACAGATAGTGTTTACCCCCCCCCCCCACTACCTCATACACCCCCCACCTTACCTCACTAACCCCATACCTTCCTCCCCTGACCCCATGGGAAAGCTCTTCCACACCTCCCTCACCACCGCCAACTGTCCCACGTAAGGTAAATAAATCTCACATACGAAACGGAGGGGGACATGATGATTACATACAAGATACTGAGAGGCATAGACAACGTTGATAAGGACAACATCCTTAAATCATTAAGAGATAGTGGAAGCTGGAAACGCAAATGAGTCCAAGAAATGTAAGGAAATACTCGTACCCCTACACGGGTAGTCAACAAGCAGAATGCAGGAAAAAAGTTGTAGAAGCCACCTCCATCCACAACATTTAAAACCAGATTCGCAAAGAATTTGAACGTTAGAACACTTTTTTTTGTTTATTAACGCATTTAGGTGCATCTGCATTTGTGTATCTACACCTAGACTATATGAAGGGGAGTACAGTGTGTGTACTAAAAATAAGAACTAGCTACGTGATGCTAAAAATCCCCATCAAACAGGATGGTTAGTCATACAGAGGCATGTGATAAGTAGTCTGCACTGACAGACTCTGGGTGCATTATGAGGATATCATAAACACAAGAGTGAATAAGGCAGCAGTGGTACTAAAAGTCCCCATCTCGCAGGATGGTTAGTCATACAGGGCCATATGTTTAGTAGCCTGTACTGGCAAATTTGGGGTGCATTGTGAGGATATCCTCAAGAACACGAGAGTGAATAAAGTAATTGCAAACCTCCAGGTACCTCATACTAACGGGTCTGAAAGGTCTGTTAACTGGGCATTCAGTGATGTAGTGTGGGAGATCATGCCGCAGTTCCTGCTCACAGAGTTTGCACCTGGAGTACTCAGGATTGGGAGACCCGTCACCTGCAGCCACCTGCCACGGGTAACGGTAACCTAACCTGATCCTGGCAACCACTGTGTCGCACAGTCTGGTCCACGTTTTGTGCTGCCCATAAACATATATTTCAGATCTGAACAAATCATAGCTTTTTATACTGGTGCTTTCAGGTCGTTGGGAGTCAGTAATTTCTCTCCTATCAGACCTGAGTGTTTGGAACAATATAGTTTTGACAACAGAGATGGGGATACCTAGATCTAATTCAACTTCATCTTTGTTACACGCAAATTTGGCTGCAAGGTCTGTGTCATTATGATGGGTTATATTTATGTGGGAAGGTATCCATACAAAGGAGATTCGAAACCCTTTACTCTGTGCAGCGATTAGGTCATTTATATTTGCTAGTATGAGGTTCTTGCTGTTCTTGTTTAACCTGACACTGAATACTTAAAATATAACGCAACAAGTACAATAATGTTGTCTGGGCATAAATAGGTAGACCGCTTCCCCGTAGACACTGATAAATAAGTATTAAGTCTCACACCAATATTAAAGTTCCCCACCTGTGTCCACCAAGGCTCCCACCCGTCCCCTCACCACCAACAAAGCTCCCACCTGTCCCCTCACCACCAACAAAGCTCCCACCCGTCCCCTCACCACCAACAAAGCTCCCACCTGTCCCCTCACCACCAACAAAGCTCCCACCTGTCCCCTCACCACCAACAAAGCTCCCACCCGTCCCCTCACCACCAACAAAGCTCCCACCTGTCCCCTCACCACCAACAAAGCTCCCACCCGTCCCCTCACCACCAACAAAGCTCCCACCTGTCCCCTCACCACCAACAAAGCTCCCACCTGTCCCCTCACCACCAACAAAGCTCCCACCTGTCCCCTCACCACCAACAAAGCTCCCACCTGTCCCCTCACCACCAACAAAGCTCCCACCTGTCCCCTCACCACCAACAAAGCTCCCACCTGTCCCCTCACCACCAACAAAGCTCCCACCTGTCCCCTCACCACCAACAAAGCTCCCACCTGTCCCCTCACCACCAACAAAGCTCCCACCCGTCCCCTCACCACCAACAAAGCTCCCACCTGTCCCCTCACCACCAACAAAGCTCCCACCTGTCCCCTCACCACCAACAAAGCTCCCACCTGTCCCCTCACCACCACCAAAGCTCCCACCTGTCCCCTCACCACCACCAAAGCTCCCACCTGTCCCCTCACCACCACCAAAGCTCCCACCTGTCCCCTCACCACCAACAAAGCTCCCACCTAGCAACCAAGGCCCCGCGCCCCCTCGACCCACCAACATAGCTCTGGAGTAAGCACCAAAGAGCAGTGTTCCCTCAGATGGGTGTGTGGGGGAGCTGTAGCAGCTTACTGCGGACCCCTGCAGCTTAGTCCAGGTAAACTCCTGTGATCCCCCGCCAGCACTAACACTGTTTTATAAACATTCAGAAGAGCCACGTCAAGCGTATCTCAACTATTTGCAGGTAATGGTATTTACCATTTCCATTTTGCAGTAGAGGATGATATATTTGTTTAAAGTTATCTAGCGCATATTAACTCATACAGTTTATATAGGATTCTTTATACGCTATAAGCCTAGACCCACAGCGGACAATTGGTAGTGTGAATTTTGTTGTGGTAATCATTTCTTCTGTCTTCCAGTGACGTGAGGCTTAACTAAACTAGTCTTCCCTCATAGATGAAATCTCCAATTTCTGGACTAATTTGGTGGTGTAACTCTTCCATTTGTTTCCTTGTGATACGGTAGTCCTGATGCAACATTGCATTTATGATACCTAACAATTTTGTTTTTGTAAATGTAATTTTCTTGTTGTGACTGGTCCCCAGGTTCCCTTTGATAGTTTGCACTGCCCTCTGTGGTGTGTACAAGGGTTGGGATGGGGCTATTGTATGGTGCGGTGGTTGACAGGTTGTATTAGGATGTGGAAGCAGATTCATAGTAAGTCGGGGGATTGATTAATGGGGATTGTTGGAAAGTTAAGAAGCTGAATGGTCTGCTGCTCTTAAGTTGTGGCTCTGGGTGTTCCCTGCTCCCATCCCTTCCCACGTGCATCCACTGCTTCTCTATGTTCCTTTGTCATGTCCCTGTGTGTGTGTGTGTGTGTGTGTGTGTGTGTGTGTGTGTGTGTGTGTGTGTGTGTGTGTGTGTGTGTGTGTGTGTGTGTGTGTGTGTGTGTGTGTGTGTGCGTGCGAGCGCACTCATGAATATGTAATTACCTAGATGTTCTTATAGTGACTTTATTCACTCTTATACTCATCAACTTTCCATTTCAAAATGATGTTCGCCATGACGCTACTGAGTGCATAAGGTATTGTTTTACGAGAGTCTGTGTATCTGAACATGTTAACCATTTTCTTCCATACCTTGTTGACCTGGTGTAAAGGTGTGCGCCACCAGCCTCGTGGAAGTGTGAAAATAGATAGCGATCAATAAAGAAAAAATGTTAGTTTAATGGCGAACATTTTCGGGATTACCTGATAAAGAAAATGTAGGTAAGTTACACATACAACACAGCTAGAACACCAGATACACATTTACACACACATTTACACATACATTTACACACACAACATTGTTATGAGGCGCGTCGCTCCCCTAGTCGTTTGCTACCCCCAGAGTCATTTAGCCCCTTGATGGTGGTGGTGGTGATGGTGATGGTGGCGCTGGTGGTGGTGATGGTGGTAGTGCTGATGGTGACAGCCTGGTGCGACGGTGATGACACTAGCAGGTGATGACTATAATAATGGCTTAAAGGACTTTCTTCCTATGAGAATTACCCCAAATCTACTTTGCTACCATTGATCTCTAAGCTGTTATCTACATAGCTAATGGGGAACTCATCTTTGAACAATTAGCCTTTGATGGAGAAACACTAAATGAACATGGATCAAAGATAATTTAGAGGAACTGCTTCATTATTTTTGGAGTAAGAAGTAGATCCGTCGTAGTAGGATTTTGTAATATTAATATATACAGATATAATTAAATAACTCAAATTAATATTTAATATCTGACGAATTTCACTCAAATTAGGCAGTAATGGAGTTTAATCGACCTATTTAGGTCACGTGACGTTGCTAAAATAGCTTTGGTTCAAAATATACAAAATACGTGTCATAGTGTTGAATGCATCAATGCATGAGAATAAATGTTTCGAACGAATTATGAAGGCAATTCGGTTTATCTTTCATAATTCGAACGAATTATGTCGGCAGTTCGGGTTATCCTTCATAATTCGAACGAATTAAGTCGGCAATCCGGTTTATCCTTCATAATTCGACCAAATTATGTCGGCAATTCGGTTTATCCTTCATAATTCGAACGAATTAAGTCGGCAATCCGGTTTATCCGGCAAGTCCCCCTTAAGAGCCAGATGGCGACTATAACCAGACAATATCCACTCTTACTGCGGGTTGCAAGGTATATGACTGGCGGGTCGTGGGTCACCTGATACCTCCAGACTCAAGCGGTACCCCGGGAGAGTTTGAAACTTCCAGTTGGATACCAGTGGTCTCTCTGGGGCAACCCGTTCTCGCACTTTCGTATAATCAATCTTCGGGATTACCTGGTAATCCTTCGGTATTACCTGGTTTTCAAGGTAAACTAAAATATTCACAATAAATTAGTATGTCACATATGCACTTATTTAATAAGTCAATATTGACTGTAAGAAAGTGCGAGAACGGGTTGCTCTGGGACCCTCTCTTATTGTGGCTGTTCGTAGTCACGTTGGTAGAGTTCCTGTCTTTCACTCTTTATTTAGCGTAAGAGTAGAGGTGAAATGAAGTGAACTAAAGGAGAAGGTTGTAGAAGCAAACTACATTCATAATTTTAAAAGTAGATATGATAGGAAAATAGGGCAGGAGCCATTGCATTAGACAACCTGGAGGCCAGAAAGATGGGGTCAAAGAACTATTGCTCGATCCTGCAGGCACAAATAGATGAGTACATCCATTATATCACCCAGCCAGTTCTCACTCACGCTCTGGCAAGCGTCAAATTAGAGATACTTCTTGCCTGACCCTAAAGTATACATATCCATACAAACCCAAGGCCGGTGTTCGTATGCGTGGCCGGCGTTCATTAGCCGAAGAATGTGTACAAATTGACTCGCATACATTTCACCTAGACGCCTTAATTTGAACACTGCCGCTGATAGCGCCCAAATTGAAGTGCTGTAAGCGCAGGATGGGTTCATCCACCTGGCGTCCATGGCCTAGTAATTGTCTCTTGTGTTTCAGACGGGTTGCTGAGCTACAGCGTGGGCGGGGGCCCCTACAAGACTTATGTAGGCGCGGGCGTGGGCGACAGTGTGAGCGTTGGTGAGGGGCTGCTCTACGACGGGCGGGTGGGCGGCCAGGAGCTGGACGCCACGCCCACAGACACTCAGGAGCCTCTCCAGGTCGAAGGTAAATAATTTGCATATTTTCACCAGGTAAACTAAAGTTCTATGACCTCCCACTTTCCCCCTCCTTCCCCTCACTAAACCCGTATGTGTCTCCTCCAGACCTTCCTTGACCACATACATGTGTAACACACGCATGTGTCTTCCCAGACCTTCCCTGACCACACACATGTGTAACACCCGTATGTGTCTCCCCAGACCTTCCCTGACCACATACATGTATAGCACCTACATGTGTCTCCCCAGACCTTCCCTGACCACATACATGTGTAACACCCGTATGTCTCTCTCCCCAGACCCTTCCTAATCTCACACATGTGTCTTCCCAGACCCTCCCTAACCACACACATGTGTAACACCTGCATGTGTCTCCCCAGACCTTCTCTAACCACACACATGTGTAACACCTGCATGTGTCTCCCCAGACCCTCCCTAACCACACACATGTGTAACACCTGCATGTGTCTCCCCAGACCCTCCCTAACCACACACATGTGTAACACCTGCATGTGTCTCCCCAGACCTTCTCTAACCACACACATGTGTAACACCCGCATGTGTCTTCCCAGACCTTCTCTAACCACACACATGTGTAACACCTGCATGTGTCTCCCAACACTCCTCACAATAAATAAAATCAATACAAAAGAACACATCAACAGCCAAGCTAAATGTTGCATGTTTCTTTGATATAAATATACAGTAATATAATATTTCTCGACTGCTTACATAGGAATTGTAAAATTATGGTTATTTTTATAAGCCTTCTGACAATACTAGAGGAGGTGGTTGGGCCTTGGAACGAGGCCATTAGGGCTACGCTTCCACACGTTCTCTTGTTTCTTCCTGGCCACGATGGCTGTTTTCTCTCAGCCTTTATCCAGCGAGACAATAATTGTAGTGATCGATCACACACCGACACGTCCCAAATGTCAGGTTCTGACACAACTTCTTGTTTATTTAAAGTATATTTTTGTATTCAAACAACTAGAACATCTATAATCCATATATTATCAGGGTGACAAATCAGAAGAAAAACTCAGCATCTTGAGAGATGGTGGGTGGGGTGGTGGGGGGTAGTGGGGGGTGGGGTGGGGAGGGGATGTAGCGGTGTCGGCCCCATTCACAACTCTACTCCACCCCCATGCCAGGGTGTCGGGTTCCCGTGCATGCCACGGTGGCGCCACCATCACTGACGGCGCGCCATTACCAGTGACGTCACCGCGGCTACTGACCTCATCACCTTTGCTAAAAACAAACCTTGATCACCGGGAGCCGGTCGGCCGAGCGGACAGCACGCTGGACTTGTGATCCTGTGGTCCCGGGTTCGATCCCGGGCGCCGGCGAGAAACAATGGGCAGTTTCTTTCATCCTATGCCCCTGTTACCTAGCAGTAAATAGGTACCTGGGTGTTAGTCAGCTGTCACGGGCTGCTTCCTGGGGGTGGAGGCCTGGTCGAGGACCGGGCCGCGGGGACACTAAAAAGCCCCGAAATCATCTCAAGATAACCTCAAGATAGCCTGTATTCTATTTGATTATATACTTTATTTTTGCCAAGTTTATGCAAATTGTCACAATTCTGTCTGGACTAAACACACGCATTTTTTATAGTTTAGAAATTTAGAGGAGGACACATTTCCAAAACACCACCAAATACTAATGACATATCTCGCATAGACGAAATATAACACGAATTTATAGAAATCTTCATCTAACTGCAAGACACATGAAAAAGTCTTACATCATCGACAGATACTCCTTCTAAATACTTAAATGTTCAACCTTCGTAAATCTCCTTTCATACACTGCCACCCTCCCTCGCCTCACCCAATACACTTCCACCCTAAATTCCACCATAAATTCGTACCTGAGAAAAGAACAAATGCCGAATTTATATTGCCGTTTGCCGTTTATATATTAGATATATATAAACTATTCCCGACCGAAAGAGAATATCAATCTCTTCTGATTTCTTGAATGATTTCTTCGTGGATGATTTCTTCAAATGTCTGAGTGTGCATGAGGCTAGGTAGCAATGAATGCCAGAGTGAACACCTGAGGTATATCTTGAACATTTCCTCCATAGACAACTCAGCTTAGCAAGGCTAGCATTGTACAGGACAGACACGGAGTGTAATGACTGTAGGGATCTCTCCCTCCTCCATCCCTGCCCAGGTCTGGAGCCGGCGCCAGGCACGCCAGTCCTGATGGTCTTCAACTTCGATGTCATGAGGAGATTTCGCGCCTTATATTTCTATCTCACGACTTCACAGCTGGGTGTCCAGGTGAGTCTGGCAGCTGGGTGTCCAGGTGAGTCTCGCAGCTGGGTGTCCAGTACTGGCCCCATAAACCAGACAATCACCAGGGGGCCAGATTCACGAAGCAGTTACGCAAGCACTTACGAACGTGTACAGCTTTCCTCAATATTTGACGACTTTGGTTACATTTATTAAACAGTTTACAAGCATGAAAACTTCCCAATCAACTGTTGTTATTGTTATAAACAGCCTCCTGGTGCTTCGGAGCTCATTGACTATTTAATAATTATAAACAAAGCCGCCAAAGATCGAGAAAAGCTGTACAGGTTCGTAAGTGCTTGCGTAACTGTTTCGTGAATCTGGACCCAGTACTGTCGCCTGGGGCCAGATTCTGATAGAACAACTATCAAAACCATCTACAGCAAAATGTAAAGGTAAAATAATAATAACTCCATTCTTAGTTTTATAAACATAATGAAATAAACAAAGAAATCATTGCTTTACCAAACTAGCAAGTAAGACTGGCGGAGTCCAGGAGCTGAAGCTCATTCCCGCATACTTTGTTAGGTAAGAATAGTCATATTTACAACGTGGTTTTCACACCTGGTAATAAAATAATTATAAATCAACAAAAATAAAAAAAAATAAACGCTAAAAATTAATATCTGTTAATTATTTTTAATAACATTACACCTGGGAATAAAATGATAATAAATTAACAAAAAATAAAAAAAAAAAACCCTAAAAATTAATATTTGTGAATTATTTTTAATAATATTACATCACAGGATTCAACAAGCAATACACGCAAGCAGGTTGGAATAATAAGTCTTATTACAGAAGAACAGAAGAACGACATTTGTAGAGAAGTTGAGCAAGACCAGTTTACCAACTCTCACCATTATGTACTGAGCTTATCTCCCTGCTAATTACAGCAAGCAATCTAATTTACTTTGAAATGAAGTGCATGCATGTTATGAATAATTAGGTGTAGTAATTGGATGTGAATATATATATATATATATATATATATATATATATATATATATATATATATATATATATATATATATATATATATATATATATATATATATATATATATATATATAAACTATACAAGCGCAGGATGATATATATATAAAGTCCAAAGAATTTATAACTATAATAACATTATTTAAACGATCTCGATTTCAGCCTAAAATCAAGTCATCAGTAATGTTTGGGTGGAACTCGTCCGTGTTGGATGAGAGCGCGGTGGCCACGACTTGGGTCTCCGAGGACCTGAGCCCAGCAGGACCTCAGAACCTCACCCTGGACCTGCGTCAGCGTCCGGCCGCCACTCTACAGGTGGAGGTGGAGGTGTCTGAGATTGAGGTCAACATCCTGGAGGTGTACTTCGACTCCAGTAAGTCTCCACAGGTGTACAGGTGTCTGATTTGGGCTTCTCGTGGAGAGGGGGGTCTCTACAGGTGTGGTGTAGAGGATTGCAAGGAGGGAAAGTCTCTACACGTGTGGAGTGCTGCAGGGAGGGGAGATCTCTACAGGTGTGAAGGGAAGGGGGGGTCCAGATTGGATTAAAATGCTCACAGCTTCAGCAGGGTCTTCACGCCTCATCTCACTCACTAAACCTCCCACACAAATTCTCTATTTTTCAGTTATATATTATGGCATAAAAAGGACAATTATATCTTATTAAAATACCAGAATTCCTCGTATGCTATATGAGTTTGTTTATCGTAAACCACAGAGTTTTGTGTGGATATATTAGTGGTGTTTATTTTGTGCCTTGTGGTGGAGCTCCACAAGTGCTAGCTCACAGGTGTTGATGGAGCTGGGCCACATGTGCTGGCGGTGCTGGGCCGCAGGTGCTGGCGGTGCCGGGCCGCAGGTGCTGGCGGTGGTGGGCCGCAGGTGCTGGCGGTGCCGGGCCGCAGGTGCTGGCGGTGGTGGGCCGCAGGTGCTGGCGGTGCCGGGCCGCAGGTGCTGGCGGTGCTGGGCCGCAGGTGCTGGCGGTGCCGGGCCGCAGGTGCTGGCGGTGGTGGGCCGCAGGTGCTGGCGGTGCTGGGCCGCAGGTGCTGGCGGTGCCGGGCCGCAGGTGCTGGCGGTGGTGGGCCGCAGGTGTTGGCGGTGGTGGGCCGCAGGTGTTGGCGGTGGTGGGCCGCAGGTGCTGGCGGTGGTGGGCCGCAGGTGTTGGCGGTGGTGGGCCGCATGTGCTGGCGGTGCTCAGTCTCTCATGACCATTATGAGGCCCTGTCGTTTGTCATCCAATTCCTCCTTTGTCCATGTGTTGCTTGCTGGTGTACTGTAGGCATTTACGATTATCAGTTTACCATCCTGATTCCAGACCTGCAATGCCATTATGTCAACTTCTCGAGGGTATTCGATTATTAACTCTCTTACCTTCAGTTGTTCTTTCACCAGCACAGCCACTCCTCCCCCCCCCTTCCTAATTTTCCTGTCACATCTCCAAACTGAGCATTCGTTTAGAATACGTTTCTAAATGATCTATGTTAATTTACTCTAAATGCTCCCAACATTGTTTATGTTCGCAAGATTCACATATGTTGATGTTATCTTATTTATGTGGGCTAAGATTGGACTTTCTGGCCGTCACCAGGAAGCAACCTACAACAGATGCCTAATTCCCGGGTATCTATTTTGCGGCTAGGTGAATAGAGGCATCAGGTGAAATTAACGTGCCAAGCCATTTCTCTCCTGTCCGGAGATTGAACCGGGCTTCCTTGGTTGTAAATCGAGGAAGTAACCCACTGTAATGTTACTGCTGTTTGTGTATCTGTTTAATGTATTTATCATCGAGTCCTAATAACCATTGCCGTTATTTATGAAATAATCTATACTTAAAATGCTCATGATTATGTTATTATTATATCTTTTTCTTGTATAAATGATCAACTTGGATTTTGAAACACGTCAATAACAAACATTCAACCATTTTGAATCCAGTTATTGATTGGGTGACCGTCAGGTCCGTGTGGGTGTGGACTGGGGGACTGGGAGCGGAGACCAGTGACCACCCCAGAGGAGCACACGGCCGCCCGCCCACCTCATCCACCCGCAGACGTCTGGGCCGTCTACACCGCCCACCAACACCGCACCTACGTGGGCGTAGCCGTGGGCTTCAGCGTGGGCGTGGGCGTACTGGTGCTAGTGTGGGCGGGAGTTTGGCTGAGACGTAGAAGGGGCAAAGCTTCCTCTCCTCGAGTGTTCCGCCGCCCGCCCCCGGACACCCTCGACATGAAGAGCCTGATGGAAGGCGTGGGCGTGGGCGTGAACATCCTGGGGAGTACCACGCCCACATACGAAGAGGGAAGCTGCTTGCTGTACGACGACTTACAGAAGACACCGCTGGTGACGCCCTACAGCACCCTCCGCCCTGCCACCCCGGACTCCGTCCCGGTCTACGCCACCCCCGCCGTCCTCAGACCTTCTTCCACCTTCCCCTCTACCTCCTCCTTCACGCCAATCCCCCGCCCTGTCACCCTCGCCTCCATCTCCCGCCCACCGCCCATGCTGCCACGCCCGCCGCCCATCCCGGCCCCACCCGAGAACTGCGAAAGACAGATCCAGGTAAGCCCTTATTATGTAACACACTCACACTCAAGCCCGCCCACGGACAAGTAAACACACGCAGCACGTGCGTGACATAAAATGAGTGAGACGACAGGTGAGGTAAAGATGTGCGACGTGTGCGTGTTAGTGTGACGCCGTTCCCATGGTAACTGCGACACACTACACTACTATACTTTTATTGTTCTCTTGCTCACCAACACTGCTCTCCCTTACTCTCTCCTTTATTGCACCTCCTTCCTCCGCCCACCTCCGTCCTCCGCCCACCTCCTTCCTCCGCCCACCTCCTTCCTCCGCCCACCTCCTTCCTCTTTATATATTGATATAAACCTACACAACACTCTACCATTGATATTAACAATATTAATAATAGAAATTCTACAAATACGAATAATAAACTAATAATAAACCTAGCAACAATAAAATGTATTTATTGCTAATATATATATATATATATATATATATATATATATATATATATATATATATATATATATATATAATATATATAAATATATATATATATATATATATAATATATATATATATATATATATATATATATATATATATATATATATATATATATATATATATATATATATATATATATTATCCTCCCTAATTATCAGTCCTGCACTCAAGACAAATATATAGCACAAAATATATTTAAGATATCCCCCCAGGTGTTAATTAACTGCAAATTAATACCGACTATTCAAATGACATTCAACATAACAATTAGTTGGAGTCGAGCGGCCGAGTGCCAGGCAAAGCAACCCGAGCAGAACTGGCAGCTCGCGTGACTGGAGCAGAAAAGCGCGATATTGTGAAGATTAAACTGAGTTATTTCTTCCACCAAGAGATGCTTTTTGTTTCTCGGTAGTGTGGGGGCATGTCAGGTGACGTGAAGGTTAGGTTAGGTAGCTTGTTTAGTCTCCGGTAGCTTGTTAGGGTTCGGAGTCTGTAGGAAATTGGTTGATTTATGTAACTGAAAATATTACTGCTTAATTAGCGGGTTGATGTAATTAACCTAATTAGTAATGTTTGTTGTGTGTCTGGCCAGTGCCTGTATGTCTGGCCAGTGCCTACTGTGTGCCAGGCCAGTGCCTGTATGTCTGGCCAGTGCCTACTGTGTGCCTGGCCAGTGCCTGCATGTCTGGCCAGTGCCTACTGTGTGCCTGGCCAGTGCCTGCTGCGTGTCTGGCCAGCGCCAGCCGAGCGCCCCAACTCTCGCTCCCTCCGTGGCACAGTTAATTAATCAAACGTGCATAATTAGTGAGATTAACTTTCAGCGACACTGAGACTATCAGCTCATTACCACCATTAATTGGAAAATCACTAATACAAAACTTGAGGAACTGATAAACAGACGAGAGGAGTGAACGAGCAATTGAAGACACAATTACTCCCTCATTACCAGCCAGTTCACCGACCTCACCTCCTCGTTATCCCCTCATGTCTCCCTCCCTAATTACCGTGGTTGTGATAACGTAACCAGGAGCGACAGCTGTTCGCTCCCTTGACACTTATTAATATTGTCAATGTGACACAAAACCTTACTGAGAAAGAACATGAAATTAACAAAATCGGGACTTAATATTTTTAACCCTCATTTTGGACTTTTTGGGTCGCGTTTGGTAGGAAGAGGTGGAGCCAGAATGATACGGTCCTATTCCTGCAACGTGGAAGTCCTATAATATATCATATATATATATTATATGTGTATGCACAGACTTGCTTATAAACCACAAGTTTGAAGTATATACCTTTTAGACACTCAACCTGCCAGGGGACTCGAACACTGGCCATCAAGGTGGCAGTTACGCTCTGTATCCACTACACGAACGCGAGGAATCCCTCACTATCTCATTCCCTGGGAAGGTTTGGAGTTCTGGTTGGTTAAATACCCCAGAATTCCTACCTCTTTAGGGCTCTGAAGTATGGTTTAGTGGATACAGTGCGTAACTGCCACCTTGATGGCCCGTGTTCGAGTCCCCTAGTGCGTTGAGTGTCTAAAAGTTATATTACATATGTATATGTATTATATATATACACTGCATATATATTCGGTTAGTTGGGGGCCCAAAACACGCATCCTACCCACTGGCAAATACGGTAATTACGCAGCACAAAATCTCGTTGAAGTTGATGTTAATTTTCGAGTATGAAAAGAAGCGAGGAGATGAGGCGAAGAAAGTGTTGACATGAGAGTGATGAGAGTAAGCACGGGTAAGGCATATGAAGAAAAATAGACATGCTTTTGAAAATAAAAGATCCCAGTCGATCAACAAGGAACTTTTGTTGTCCTAATCTCTAACATTCTCGTTTCACTGCCATTTCTGCAATGTTCTCGTTGCCTTCCTGATATACCAAAAAATACCAACTCAAAAGCATTACAGTTATAACGTTTGAGACTGTGATAATGCTGAAATTTTTGGCTGCAGCCATAAATGAAGTTACTGAGGCGAAGCACTTGTCCTTGGCGTGTATGAACATAGGTTTGTCTTCATTACCCCGGCCCGGGTTTTCCCGCTGTGCTCAGCGAGAAAGCAGCTGTCTTATTTGTAAGTTAAGTTTAACATTCCCGCATTACTGCTGCTCCGGCCACCATGCACTTCTTGTTCTGCTCGACTGTCAGCTCTGGCGGGGAGGTGCTGGCACCCGCACACTGGTGGGGAGGTGCTGCCAGCCGCACACTGGTGGGGAGGTGCTGCCAGCCGCACACTGGTGGGGAGGTGCTGCCAGCCGCACACTGGCGGGGAGGTGCTGGTAGCTGCACACTGGCGGGGAGGTGCTGGTAGCCGCACACTGGCGGGGAGGTGCTGCCAGCCGCACACTGGCGGGGAGGTGCTGCCAGCCCCACACTGGCGGGGAGGTGCTGGCGTCGGGCAAGTGGTCAAGGTAAGTATGGAGATTGGTCACAGTATTCGCATAAGACATTCCTCCCTTATAAACAGTAATCAGGGAAACGGTTAACAGTTTAACCGTCCTCCGCCTCGCGTCTCCAGGTGTTCGTAAACTTGGAAGAAACATCGTGCCTCCAAGTGTTCGTAAACTTGGAAGAAACATCGGTGCCTCCAAGTGTTCGTAAACTTGGAACAATCGGTTACTAAATAACATCACAAAAGTTTCGATGTTTATTTTCACGTAGTAAATTGACTTGATATAGGCGGAGTGTCGGGCGAGTAGAGCTTTTGTGTGTTTGTATACTGGCCTTGTGTTTGTGGAGGTTGAGTTATAGCTCTTACACCCAGCCTTCCGACCGTAGGGTCCCTGGTATACAGGTTCCAACCCGTCCTCTCAACTAATACGTCGTTATGGCAACCAGCTTAAAAATGCAACGTGGTATGAAAAGTTGCGTCTCTCAAAAATCCGTTTTCTTTCGATCGGTTGGTTAGGTTAAGTGGGTGACTGTGGGATCCTCTCGGACGTAGATTCGAGCCCTCGTCAAGGCCCTTGTGGATTTGTTCATTTAAGTGGGTAACTTAAGGTTCGTGCGTTTCTGATTAGGTTAGGACGTTGGATTTTATACGTTGTGGCAAATCAAGAGATTTGGGATTTTATACGTTGTGGCAAATCAAGAGATATGGGTTTCAAATCCTTTGGTCGGTCATATCTACTTTTAAAGTCGTGCCTCCGCTACTAGTTCAAATCCCTTTATTTACTCTTCTAGTACTAACCGTACAGTTCCAGCCCCGCTCCTGTGCCGGGTAAGTCCACTACGGGCTCGCCATAGCCCGTGCTACTTGCAACTTTTTGTTCTGAGCAGCTCAATCTAAAACAACAACAACATACAGGCTGGAGCTGCATACTCCAGGATTGGTCTGACATAAGTGGTATACAAGGTCCTGAACGATTCCTTACACAAGTTTCTAAAGGCAGTTCTTATGTTGGCCAATTTAGCATGTGCCGCTGATGATATCATTTTGATGTGGGTTTCTGGAGGCAGGTTCGGTGTGATATCAACCCCCAGATGTTTCTCTCTATTTGACCTTAGCAGGATTTCACCTCTACCTGTGTTTGTGTGTGTGTGTGTGTGTGTGTTTTGCTTTATTATTAGGCAAATAACGTATTTTAGAGAAACGAAAAAAGCAGTAAAATAGGAGAGTGTGAGGGAAGAGGAAGGAATTATCAGGGAAAAGCACCAGGCCATTACGACTATATAGCACTTGGAAGGGGTCAGAATAAGGATTTGGGATGAGACGGGGGGAAAGGAATGGTGCCCAACCACTTGGACGGTCGGGATTGAACGCGGACCTGTATGAAGCGAGACTTTATGTAATTTAGTATTGTTTATGACCACCTTTCCTGCCCCTTGACTCTCCTCCCTGGCCACTTCCACTACCGGGAGGACCGTACAACCAAGGAGAGGTGACACGAGGTCGGTGTTGGTGAAGAGGTTCTCAAAGATGAACTAATAACGGAGCTCCCTCTCTCTCTCTCTCTCTCCCGTCCTCGTGGATAGGTACCGTCCGTAACTGGCCCGTGGCTGACGTGCGTGTACCGCCAGGACCCCGGGCGGCTGGTCACGCCCACGCCCACACCTATGCTGGCCCCGGAGCGCGTCACACGGACGGGCGTGCTGGCCTCTGGCGCCTTCGCTACGGTGAGTCTCAACGCTACAGATCTGTCCCACATTATTTTTTGCTGCTCTTTTTAACATTTATAAAATCGTTTTCTATTTTAGGTGCTTAAAACTAGTCACGCCAATCTTATTGTGTCCTTTGGCTCATTAATGAGGGCTTGCTGCTTGCCTCGAAAGGTTTATTGCGAGATGAGTATTCAAGCAGGCCGCTGCCTGGTCGCCTGTATGTTCGTCCATCCAACAGTTCTAATTTTCTGTTCCCGTGTAACTGGAAATATTTGTGTTCATGTTATTTATATATAATATGATTTGCTGTCCTACTGACAGATGCACGTCATGCTGTAGCTTTACACCTGTTTACTTTACAAATTGAACTAGTCTTTAATTGTGGTTATTGTTCCCCAGTTTACAGTTTGTGATGATAACTTTCACTACGACTTTAATATAATTTTAGTTTGATTTTTAGCTTTACTTGTTCCTTGTCCCTTGTTCCTTACGTTAACAATTTGTGAGTTTGGATGACTTTGGAAACATTTTACATATACATTACCTATTATTTATAAAGCTTTATTTCAGATTTCTAAAGTCATAAATATTTACAGGATTTCTGCATAAATATTGTGGGGGTCTCTGGAAGCATCATTGTGTACTACACTTTTCAGCGTCATGTAACACAAAAATCTTTCTATCAATAGCTGTCAGTGGGCGTGGTTTCTGAGGATGGATCGCAGGGATTGGAGGAGGAGGAGAGGTGCGAGGGAGAGGCTCCGCCCCCCCGGCACGCTGCCCTCATCACAGTAACCGCCCACCAGGCGGCTCCAGCGGTCACGCGCCAGGCACAGGTCAATCACCGCACCTCTATGTGTACACAAACACACACAAACACTGATACAACAGAGTTACAGCCCAGCTCCTGTGCCAGGTAAGTCCACTACGGGCTCACTATAGCCCGTGCTACTTGCAACTTTTTTTCCGAGTAGCTGAATCTACAACAACAACAACCAATACAAACACACATTTTGTTTTGACTGAGCTGACTGAGCTTTGACTGAACAGTCAGAGCGCCCAAATGAGCCACAGAGATATTAGAAAGAACTTTTTAGTGTCAGAGTGGTTGACAAATGGAATACATTAGGGGGTGATGTGGTGGAGGCTGACTCCATACAGTTTCAAGTGTAGATATGATAGAGCCCAGTAAGCTCAGGAACCTGTACACCTGTTGATTGACGGTTGAGAGGCGGGACCAAAGAGCCAGAGCTCAACCCCCGCAAACACAACTAGGTGAGTACAAACTGACACAACCATCTATTATCCTCCTCAAATTAAATCTATTATTTATAACTTCGCGCTGAAATATTTGCTATTTGACTCCTGCAGTTGACGATTTTTAAAACGAAAATGAATTATTTTTTATAAGTGATGTTTTTTTTTTCTCTCACTCATTCCTTCTCAGTCTTCACTATGTTACTCTCCTGCCTTCCCGTCATCTCTGAAGTCTAGGCTTATTTATATTTTCAATATTTGTCTTATCTCATTTATAAAAATTAAAAAGAATTTGATTTCCAATTTTGCGGAGAGTTGCAATCTTATCCGGAAAGTGGTTTAATATGAAGAGGCTAGCGACAAGGGTCAGAAATGTCAGCTGACCCCAATATCGCCGCGAGCCACACGCGTCCTCCATATCTGATTTAGTCTCAAGCTCCAGTTTTCTCTTAATTAACAAGAAAGTCATTTTCGAAACTCTGCAATGGCGGAGTTTGTAAAAATTCCTCTAGTGCATTAAACGATCTCCGCGGGTCTTGCTCACTTATCGGGAGCCGGTCGGCCGAGCGGACAGTACACTGGACTTGTGATCCTGTGGTCCTGGGTTCGATCTCAGGCGCCGGCGAGAAACAATGGGCAGAGTTTCTTTCACCCTATGCCCCTGTTACTTAGCAGTAAAATAGGTACCTGGGTGTTAGCTGTCACGGGCTGCTTCCTGGGGACCGAGGACCGGGCCGCGGGGACACTAAAAGCCCCGAAATCATCTCAAGATAACTTACTGGAGGAGCTGTAGGCGAAGTGTGTCGGAGTTAAAATACGCACCATTGTGTTAGTTCACTATATGAGATACCTTACATTACCTTGAGTAAGGTAAGGTATCTCATATAGACCTTGAGACCTTGAGACCCCTAGAGTCATATACTGCGCTGCCCTCTTTAAATATACAAAACAGAGCGGTGGAAATAATCATAGGAGCACCTAGATGGACGAAAACTAATCATTTATGGCTAGGAAACACGCCTTGAACCACGATGGACTACCAGTCAAATTCTTACAAATCGAAACCAGATGCAGCTTTCCAAAAGGGCATCAAATATATCATTAAAGACCCAAACAACTCAATAACCATGAAACATGGATGATCGATCTATCTAACGTCAATCTTAAGCATCATTAAGTGTACAATATTCTAAGAAAAAACCTGATTAACTATCGAATTACAAGTCATTACCAGCCCTAACTGATCCCACCAGAATCAAGGATTAGTCAGATTATTAGTCAGATTATAATCAGATTAGACACTGGGAAACCTAACTAAATATCTGAAACACTAGCCGCAATGACAAACAACATAGCCCTCAACAGTCAACAACTGCGCGGTAGAATCTCTAGAACAATATCCGCTCTTGAAACAGCAACTAATCACCCACTTTTTCCACCTGTCAGAGTGACAATACCTCAACACAACAAACTGAAATATTCGCGTTCAAAGCCATAAACATGAATATGCCAATGATGATAATAATATAATGATTAATTAACACTGCTAAACAGTCATTCAGATGCTAAGAAACCGTAAGAAATCAGACAATGTAAAGTTACTCATTACAGTTCTTGTCTTACACATGGCCCTTCACACACACATCTCTGTGTCTCTCTCTGCAGCTGTTAGCAGCCTTGGATAATAAGAACCTGACGCGGCTGCTGGGGGTGGTTGTGGGCGGACCCGTGGGTGTGACACTCGTGCTGGAATACCAGGCCGACGCCCACCTGCCAGAGTACCTGCACGCCCGCACTCTCGCCCCTGCTGACTACGCCCACGCCACTACCACCCGCCCACACTTACACCCGCAAACTTCTATTAGGCGAGTGTAGAGTTGTTATCATGAGAGAGAGAGAGAGAGAGAGAGAGAGAGAGAGAGAGAGAGAGAGAGAGAGAGAGAGAGAGAGAGAGAGAGAGAGAGAGAGAGAGAGAGAGAGAGAGAGAGAGAGAGAGAGAGAGAGAGAGAGAGAGAGAGACTGTATGTGTGTGTATATACATTATATATATATAAATATATACAACCAGATGTTGTCTGGTGTCAACACCAGACAACATCTGGTGTTGACAACGGCTTTACACGACCGAAACGTTCATGATCTTTTCCCATTTCTTTGTGGATTCCCCATACAAATGATCAGTGTTTCGTGATCGTCAATTGCATAATATATATATATATATATATATATATATATATATATATATATATATATATATATATATATATATATATATATATATATATATATATATTATATATAGGGGTACCACCACTGGTTTAATTAAAGGGACCCACATCCTCGAAGAAGAAAATAAATAGTGTTCAGAGAAGACCTTGTGGATTCTCACTGAATACTTTAATCTTTTCCTCTCCTACCACCCCTATTATTTTTTATATATAAATGTATAAATTTAAACATTATTTATATTTCGTGAATCTAGCCAAGCATCCTTCACCCCTGCAACACCCTTCACTGCGGCCTCCACCCCAGCGCCGGTGTTGGGAGGTGGAGGCTCTCTCCACCTTCCCACATCCACGGCCTCCACCACCCACCTCTCCCTATTCCTCTTAACTTACGGGCTATTCATGCCCGTGCCACCTCTTGGGTGACTTAATCAATCGATCTGTTCCATAGTTCTCCCTAATGTCTTTACCCTCTCAGTACTGCTGTCGGCCTCATCCTACATGTCTTACTCTCGTCCCTCGAGCCTCACTACCTATCCCCACCCAACCACCTCCGCTCCGCCTGGACTAACGCGTGTTTGTATGTACGAGCAGCGTGGGCGACCTGCTGGACGTGGCGGTGCAGGTGGCAGCCGGTATGGCTTTTCTAGAGTCCCACCGAGTCTCTCACACCGATATGGCTGCCAGGTGAGTCTTCCTCTGTGCCCTCTCGCATCAGGTGAGTCTTCCTCTGTGCCCTCTCGCATCAGGTGAGTCTTCCTCTGTGCCCTCTCGCATCAGGTGAGTCTCTTCCTGTGTTCTATCCAGACACGTGGGTCTCCGTGCAGCTGGTGTCTGTATGAATAGTTTAATTATACCAGCTGGGTGTGCTTCCTTGTCGCGGGGAACCCATTGGTACCTACTCACATTAATTCAACAGCCAAAGTGATATTTTCCCTATTGTATCTGCAGGTTAAAGGCGATAGATCCGCTTAATTAGTTTTGGGAGGTAAATACAACATTTCTACTACCCGACATACAACCCTAGACTTCACATGACACTGCGTGACGTCTAGGGTTGCATGTCACGGTCCTGACACCGACCCGATATGCAACCCTGGAAAAGTACTGGGATGATTTAAGGGGGTACCTCTCGGGTTGGAAAAAAGAGGGTTACAGTGAGAGAGATAGAAGTTGGCAAGGTCTTAAGTCAGGATGCCACACGAGACTGGGACCCATCCTTTTCCTAACAAAAGTAAGCCATTAGCGAGAGAAAATAGTATTATTCATACTCTAATTTACGAACGATGCACAGTTGACGAGATCAGTTTGAACCAAATGCAAGCACATCTTGGTGAGTGTCACAGCCCCTCATGCAAGCACATCTTGGTGAGTGTCACAGCCCCTCATGCAAGCACATCTTGGTGAGTGTCACAGCCCCTCATGCAAGCACATCTTGGTGAGTGTCACAGCCCCTCATGCAAGCACATCTTGGTGAGTGTCACAGCCCCTCATGCAAGCACATCTTGGTGAGTGTCACAGCCCCTCATGCAAGCACATCTTGGTGAGTGTCACAGCCCCTCATGCAAGCACATCTTGGTGAGTGTCACAGCCCCTCATGCAAGCACATCTTGGTTGAGTGTCACAGCCCCTCATGCAAGCACATCTTGGTTGAGTGTCACAGCCCCTCATGCAAGCACATCTTGGTGAGTGTCACAGCCCCTCAAGCAAGCACAAGAGAAAGACTGTGTCCCTGTACTATTGACCCGGTAAATTGTGGGGTGCGTCTGGAGGACGTCAGTAATTAAGCAGGTCTGGCGGCACAAATGATCCAATTAGCCCGGCCGGGGAGAGTCATGGATAGAGGCGTCAAGCTGTCCGCCAGACTCCTCATTAACCTTAATAACTGCATGTCGTAGGGAGCCAAGGAAAATCTGTGCCACTTATCATGTGGGCTGGGATTAGTGCTGCTGGCTGGCACTCCGCTTGTGTTCCTCGGTACTCCAGTGGTGCCACCCAGTAGTTTGGTGGGGCCTCTTGACGGTCCTTGACCCGTTTATGCTGCATCTCTCTTTTGCAGTTTGCTGATGATAATGCTCAGATAAATATAAATTGCGTGTTAATTCTTGTATTGCATTATATAAATAATAAATTATCTACACGTTAAAGATACAAATAGCTGTAAAACGATTTTGTGTGATTATTCTAACCACCATCGCTATGACTATCAAAACCACCAGCCAGCACTATCACTATATACATCACGACTACCACTACCATCACCAAAGTTACTATCTCCACCATAACCATCCCTCACCATCATTGCCACCCCCACCATGATGACCAAGACCGTCGTCTCACCCACTGTTCCAAACAGAATGTGTTGTCATCACCACTGTGCCCCGTGTTACCGTGTAGCAGGAACAGCTAATGCCACCCGGGGCCCGGTGATATTTCCCGAGGGGGGTGAGGGACCTGAAGGTCAGTCAGACGTCAACACAAGGGAGGACTGAGCCCCCCAAGGCGAGGTGGGGGGTGGTGGCAGTGTAGGGGTGAGGGGGGGTGGCAGTGTAGTGTAGGGGTGAGAGGGGGGTGTGGCAGAGTAGGGGTGAGGGGGAAGAGCGAAAACCCATTTTTGTATCATATTTGGGTACATCTGCATTTATGCAGCTAAGACTATGTGAACGGGAGTACAGAGTGTGTCAAGAACTAGCTATGTGATGCTAAAAATCCCCATCACACAGGATAGTTAGTCACAGAGGAGCATGTAATTACCAAGTGTAGTTACAGGATGAGAGCTACGCTCGTGGTGTCCCGTCTTCCCAGCACTCTTTGTCATATAATGCTTTGAAATTACTGATCAATAGTCTGCACTGGCAAACTATGAGTACTTTGTTGACCAGACCACACACTAGAAGGTGAAGGGACGACGACTTGAGAATAACGACTTTCACAATCGACTTGAGAATGGTCCAGGACGGACCGAAACGTCGTCGTCCCTTCACATTCTAGTGTGTGGTCTGGTCATCATACTTTAGCCACGTTATTGTGACTTATCGCCTGAATCTAAGCTACTCTATCCGTCTTGGGATGTATTGTATTATGTTAATAAACATGAACTTAGGTCGTCTAGCTCTATTGTTTCATGGTCTGAAGGCTGTGTGTCCTGCACGGTGAATAGGGTTTAACGTTGATGTTGAGGATTGCAACATTTGTGAGGCTTATCTAAGGAAATTTTAGAAGATAGGACCTGCTTATATTGGCCGGCTGGTGCAGCATTCACGGTGGTGTCTTCAGATCTTATGGTGTCTTCACTTTTTGTTGTTCTTGAAACAATCTTTTTGTCATTCTACTGACCTAGAACTTACCTGGAACAATTTCAAGATGCTAATCGTTTATTAAAAACTCTTGCCTCTCGAGATCTCTTTGTGCTTTCGTGAGCTCTTCAAGATCTTTTGCCGAGTGCTCTTGAACTCTTGTTGGGTTGACGGCCAGGGCTTTCCTCCCTCCCTCACACTAATGTGTGAGGGAGGGAGGAAATGTTCAGGGGGAAGCGCCAAGCCATTACGGCTATATAGCACCTGGAAGCGGTCAGGAAAAGGATTTTTGGGGAAAGGAATGGTGCTCAATCACTTGGACAGTCGGGGATTGAACGCCGACCTGCATGAAGCAAGATCGTCGCTCTACCGTCCAGCCCAAGTGGTGAGGGTACATACGCAATTATACGGAAATTCTTATGATTCCTCATTAGTTTATACAAGCCCTGGGGGGGGGGGGGTCCTCTTAATGCCTTTGTTTTAGTTGTTATTTATTTGTATACCTTGTTGGTCACATCCCGCCAAACACACAACGAAACTACGACGTTGGTACAACGTTCGAACAAGTTTTAACACCACCTAACCAGTTATAACAACCAATATAGCAAGTTGTAACAACGTTCTAATACGTCATAAACACGTTAAGCCAAGATGTAACAACTATATTACAAGTTGTAACAAGCGGAAAATAGAGACAGTTACGGTTTGTGTTTCCAGGGATCGTCTCTTCACTACACAAGTGCTGCTGACTAGACATCATAATGAGTAGTGACGCAACATGGAGCCTCCTGCAAGACTTCTCTATATACATTACATACATTACATGTATGTAATGTATATAGAGAAGTCTTGCAGGAGGCTCCATGTCTTCTCTATATACATTCTCTATATCTAAAGATGCCTCTCCATGCTTCATGTGGTCCAGTCCTACATGCAGGCGATGAGTCACAATAACGTGGCTAAAGTATGTTGACCACACCACACACTAGAAGGTGAAGGGACGACGACGTTTTGGTCCGTCCTGGACCATTCTCAAGTCGATTGTCTTCTTGGACATCTGTTGTTATTGTTGACATCTTGGACGCGTTTTACAATAAAGCCAATAGCGGCATCGCCCACAAGACTACCCTTATAACCCTCCACTTGTTTCCAAAGCGGCCATTAAATTTCCTGTTTATCTTGTCGTGTTCAATCCCTTGGTGAAGCTGGCCGTGCGCTTAATGCCACGAAAAAGAAGTGTTAAACTTGCTGACACGAACAATGCTCTCTTTGTTGACCAGACCACACACTAGCAGGTGAAGGGACGACGACGTTTCGGTCCGTCCTGGACCATTCTCAAGTCGTCCCTTCACCTTCTAGTGTGTGGTCTGGTCAACATACTTTAGCCACGTTATTGTGACTCATCGCCTGCAAATGCTCTCTTTACAGACACCGTCTTCTGCAACCCGTTCTCGCACTTTCTTATAGTCAACATTGACTTATTAAATACGTGCACATGTGACATACTAATTTATTGTGAATATTTTAGTTTACCTTGAAAAGATTCATAGAAAACACCGACCTTACCTAACCTTCTTAGTATGTTAAGATAAGCATACCTATTATAGGTATAGGTTAAGTAATAATTGTAATTACGAAGCAATAATATGCTTATCTTAACATACTAAGAAGGTTAGGTAAGGTCGGTGTTTTCTATGACGCTTTTCAAGGTACACTAAAATATTCACAATAAATTAGTATGTCACATATGCACTTATTAAATAAGTCAATATTGACTTAAAGAAAGTGCGAGAACGGGTTGTCTTCTGAGGCGGCTCACATACATAACATGAACCGTAGTTCTCACTCTGGTGCTCTTGACTATCTTGCTACATAGTTAATGCGTTAATACTCTTAGCTATCCTGTGTGCTAAACTATTTCTTCGGCTTTTATCTCTGTGTCTATTTACCTGTCTTATTTCATTTTTATTCTTCATCGCTTCTCTCTTCTTTCCTTACTGCTTACTCTGTTTTCATGCTTTACTTCTCCACTTGCCTCCTCACCTTCCATCTTGCATTACATTGGCTCCCTCCCATTGCCAATATAATGACCATTATATCATTATATAATCACCAATATAATGATCTTTCACGACCAAAGTTCACATTTACTCCAAACTTCTACCACTTACGGGCTACTCGTGGCCGTGCCTCCTCTTGAAATTGAAATTGAAATTGAAATAAGTTTATTGAGGTAAAATACACACAAAGGGATGAGGTAGCTCAAGCTATTCTCACCCCGTTCAGTACATCGTGTTAATACATACATATAAACACATCACAAACAATAAACATATTACCAAACATTCTGAGAGATAAACATCTACATTTCCTAATGCCTCTTCTTGGGTG